AATCATAATTCCAACAAAGGGTAAGGAAGAAAAGGCTGGGAGGTCTTTCGTTCCTACCCACTCTGCCCTCTCCTCCAAGATCTTCTGCTTATAGTGGCTGCCCTGACTCAGCTTAACCACTAGGGTTAATCGAAGCCATCCCTATAGCATACCAACAACTAGTATATATGCCCTCCTCCCCAGACAAACCTAACGGATATGTATATTTTTACTCTGACTTGCCAAGGGAAGGAAAGCTATTAGAAGAAACTGCATCAATGGAAAATTCCTCTTAAAATAAAAACAAAATACATTGGGCTCTTTTTAAGGAGAAAAGGTGGGATAAAAACATTTTAAATAAATAAAATAGAATTATGCCAGTTTGTAGGAGCACAAGAAAGACAGCTGAGATCTCAGTCCTGAATGGATAATGCTTCCTAGCACAAACCAATCAACACACTTCAAAGGACATCACCGGAGGCACGCTGGCCCTGGCAAGCTGGCAGCAGACCTCTGCAGCATGTGCAGCTCATTATACAAAAGTTGAGAGACAGCTGGAAAGGAATATTCACACAGAATGAATTCCTCTGGACCGGCGGCCTTAATAAATAACTGTACACAAAAGCAGACAAAGGCTGGCCCAGTAGGGGCTAGAGCCTAACGCAGTAGAGGGAGCTTCATTTTGAACCGTTCGCCAAGCAACAGTCACAACAAAGCTAAAAGAGACAATTCCCTCCATCAGCCTCAATACAGAAAACTGCTGCAGAAACAGACATCAGAAAAAGACAATGTTTAATAAAAGGTGAACATACAAAACTGCCTCAGGCCACTCAAATAACTGTTGGAATGGTCGCTGAATATTGCTGGGCTCGTATCACACTACTGGACCGTGCTTTGAGTAGGTTTCTAGAGTGGCACAATAAATCGTTCCAAACTGCCTGAGGAAATATCAAGTTGACAGTAAATCTGGAGCAGTGTGGCAAAGGAATAATTTGGCAACCTATTCTGAGGTACTATACACTTTACCCATAACCATAAGTAAAAACAATACTCTTGATTACAGAAAGGGAGCATTCCACTAAAATTTAAGCAAAGTGGAGCAAAAGCTTCATGAGTTTGGATATTCCTGACAAAGTTTACATGTTCATGGTGAGAGAACATTGTTTTCAAAAGCTAAGCTAAGTACATGGAAATTCATAGTTTTTCCACATTTTCTGTCCATGACCAGGTCCCTATTCATTGCTGAAGCAGAGCAAAACCACCAAAGGCTTTGTAATAATTTAGAGTGGATCTACACAACAGAACAGTATGATACCATTTCAACTGTCTCTAGTGCTGTAGCTCAGGAGAGTGCATAAGAGCTCTGTAGTTAAGTATGCTAAGTGTCTTACAAAACTACAAATCCTAGGGTTCCATAAGACAGAGACAGCTACAATGTCATGAACTAACTAGTACTGTGTAGTATAGATACTTTGCAAAGCTCCAAGAAACTGGATATTTCTTGAGCTAATTCATTAGTCCATTTTCTTCCATTTCCAAATTAATCAGCATTTTTCTCTTTATACAAAATTTATATTTAAGTATAATCAATATGCAATAAATTTTCTCACATGTACATTTCTGCAACTATTTCCTCTTGAAGCACACATTTCTCTATCTATTTTCTCCACAAACATGCATTTTGGTACACTTTCTGAGCCAAGAACAGTATCCTAAGATTTGTAGAAGTCTGAAATCCAAAGAATCACTTCATGCTACTTACTCTACACACTGCTGTGGGCAATAAAGATCATTCCCTTTTAAATGCAGACCAAATGACACATCCGCCTCAAATATCCCCACGTGAAATGAATTAAGTGCAAAAATGGAGGAAACCGGAATTTGGAATATTACTCAAAAAAAACACCACACAACATTTCATGTTTGTATTAGTAATTGTTTTAGCAGATTTATAACAAATTAGATTAACCTTACTTGTTAATTTATAAGTAACATATTAGCAACATGTTTTCCATTCATTTCTCATAGCAGAAAAAAAATTGGCCACCCTTCCAAATGAGCATTTTAAAAAGCAAAGTTTTAGGAACAGTTTGTAAATTTTAATCCCTCAGTCTATAAGTACTGGTCAGAATCCTATTGGTGTTTGAATAAAGTTGACATAAATTGCCACCACTAATTGTAGTCAATTCACAAGCTGCTGGGGCTTTTCTTAGCTGCACAATCAGGCATGTGACCCAGTCCCAATTAGCTACAGGAAGTCAAACATGCCTGTAGGATTCTGACTGCTAGATTCAAAATGTGGAAGGATGCGATGCTTTCCTCAGTATCATGAAAAGCAATGCATTGCAGATAGCACTTTTACCTGTGTGATTTGTCACTTCCTAGCC